GTGCCACCATTGATTTCGAAATTTGACCAACCAAGCCTTTCATTTCACCTCATGTTGCTACAGAAAAGAATTTTCGTGGCCAAGAATTCTCTTTTCTTTCCAGGTCACAGCTCATGCTTATTTCTTTTTCGATTACATTTCTCACATGATTCTCCCATCATTTATTTATTTTGGGGTACTTATATAGTGCCGTCAATTTATGCAGTGCTTTACATATATATATTGTACATTCACAACAGTCCCTAACCCTCAAGGCGTGTACAATCTAAGGTCCCTAACTCACATTCATACACATACTAGGGCCAATTTAGACAGGAACCAATTCACCTACAAGCATGTCTTTGGAGTGTGGGAGGAAACTGGAGTACCCAGAGGAAACCCACACAGGCATAGGGAGAACATGCAAACTCCAGACAGGTGGTGCCGCGGTTGGGATTTGAACCAACGACCTGGGTACTGCCAGGTGGAAGTGCTAACCATTTAGCCACTGTGCTGCCCATCATTGATTAGAACTGAAAATCAGCTGTTGCTGTGGCCCACTAATGATATGAAAATTCTTAGAAAAGATTTTCGAATGAAAATTCTTTCCAAATTCGACCCGTGTATGGCTGGCTTAAGAGCTGATTCACAGATGTGTGATGCAGATTGAAGCTAGGTTTCCTATCTAATTGATACAGTAGTTGTTCAGCGGTTCAGGTCAGGTTTACATCAGGTTCAGGACAGGAATAGCTCAGGATTGTATCTTGTTCACACATGTGTGGTTTAGAAATGGTTCTCAAAGAAGTTAATAGCCTGTAATCCGCACCTGAACTGGACCGCACTGCTTAGAATTTGGACATGACTCTTTTTAAAACCGCGCTGAATCCGCACCGCCAGTGCACTGGACATGTGCGAACAGGCACCAACGTTTTTCATATGTCATGCAGATTGGATACAGTTCAAACTGCATCCAATCCGCATATACAGTATGTGACGGGCACTTAGAGACTGTGATGCAGCATGTGAGAGCAGACAGAGGACCATGTATATGTATACACCTATTGGGATTTTTTTTTATAGCAAAGACATGTAGAAGAATACATTTTGAGTTAAATATATGAAGAGATTTTTTTTTTTAATTGGATATGTTTTATAGCAAAAAGTAAAAAATATTTTCTTTTCAAAATTGTCAGTCTGTTTTTGTTTATAGCGCAAATGATAGAAAATGGTGATCAAATAGCACCAAAAGTAAGCTCTATTTGTGGGGAAAAAATTATATAAATTTAATGTATGTACAGTGTTGCATGACCGCGCAATTGTCAGTTAAAGTAACACAGTGCAATATCGCAAAAAATGGCCTGGTTAGGAAGGGGGGTATATCTTCCCGAGGGCAAGTGGTTAAAGTGATTGTAAGCCTTCTTTTTTCAAAATAATAAACATGTCATACTTACTTGTTCTGTGTAATAGTTTGTATTCTCCTCTTCTAGGATCCCTCACTGGCTCTCCCCCACCTCTTCAATGAGTGCCCCCTTAGGAAGCCTCTTGCTATGGGGCACTCACGTGGGCTTGATCCCAAGCCACGCTGCCTGCGTTTCTACTGACACAGCCCTGCTCTCTTGTCACAGGATATGATTGAGAGCAGTAGGAGCCAACAGCTCCCACTGCTGCCTCCCTGTACTGTGAGGAGGGAGCGAGTGGATCGGGCTCAGGTAAGTAAAGAGGGGCTAGGAGGGATCCTGTGCAAACAAGGATTTTTTATTTATGCAGAAAATGCATTAAGGTAAAAAAAATCTTAAGCCTTTAGAACCACTTTAATTCCCTAATAAGACACAAAAGTTGAATCCAACATAGTTTTAGTTTGGGTTAGCACAATGTATAAAATGTTTTCTAAGGCTGTGTATCTGCGATAAAAGTAAAAATAAAACTGGACAAGTGTTAAAAAAAAAAAACAACAGTGAGTGTCTAAACTAAGGATTGTACTAACTGGGGATAAAACAGGAAGGGCGGCATAGGATGTACCAAAGTATGTATGTACCAAAGGCACAAAATAAACACTTCCCACCTAATATCAATAGATACTGCTATTAACCACCAACCTTCCAGAGGATTTACCCCCCTTTGTGACAAGGCCAACGTTTGCGATACAGCGCTTCATTACTTTAACTGGCAATTGCGGCGGTCATACAAAGCTGAACCCAAATGAAATTTACATCCTTTTTTGCCCACAAATAGAGCTTTCTTTTGGTGGCATTTGATCACCTCCGCACTTTTCATTTTTTGCACTATAAACAAAAACCAATTTTGAGGAAAAAAAAACAGTATTTTTTACTTTTTGCTATTAAACATGTCCAGTAACAAAAATTTAAAAAATATAATTTCATCATAAATTTAGGTAAAAATGTATTCTGCTACATGTCTTTGCTAAAAAAAAATCCCCAATACGTGTAAATTAATTTACATGAAGGTTATAACATCTACAAATGGTGGTATATTTACTGGAATTTAAAAAATTTAATCCCTAGTAATTGGATGACAGTCAGGAATGGACTTCTGGTTCAACTCTCTATAATCGCAACACAGTCTTAAACTCTGCCATCTTTCTTTCTTACGAACAACAATGTGAGGAGTATGATGATTTTGATTCTGCAATCCATTCCCGATTTATCAGATCCTACAGATATTCATTAACTTTTTGGTGCAGTGGTTTTTGGCACAGACATGTCGGTTCTCATGACCGGTGTGCTGTCTTTAGGACGAATCTGTAACTGTAAAGAAGGAATACTTCCTACATCAGAGTCATCTTTGGCAAAAGCATTGCATTCTTCTCTTAGCATTTCTTTGACGATTTGTTGATCCTCAGGAGGGAGGTGGTTTTCAGAGGCAGGAGGAAGAGGCAAGTCCCCCGAAACGCGTCAGCCGATTGGATGTCTACACTCCCTATTGTGGACGTTTTTGAGTACAACACCTACTTTATTTCTTATTAAACATTTTTTTGTAATGCACTAGGCCTGTGCGCCCCTCTGTTTGTTTTTTCCTCCTCATTCAGTATATTTGGATTCCCCCGGTCTGTTGAGGGCAGCAAGGTGTGCATGTTCCAGGACATTCTTAATGTGGTTGTAGCCTGCATCGAGTCCATCCCAAAGTGCAGGAGCATTTGTGTTTGCTGGTTTCTTTGTTTCAGAGGCACTGGCGGATCCCAGCGCTCCTGATTGTCATCCCCCACCCGCGGATAAATCTCATATGGATTTCCAATTTCCCCTTTTGGTCCTACCTTGAGTGTCTGTGGTTCAGAGATCACTGAGTTAGTAAACACATTTGCTGATTGTTTCAATTGTACTTGAGCCAGATATGTTGTTTTTTTGGGCTTGATGCCTCCAGTCTTCCGTTTGACCTTGTAACACAATGCCCCATTTAGTTGTCTTCCAAACTGGAATGGTCAGTTTGGAAAATTGTCCTCTTTGAAATGAGACAAATGTCTCACCGATATGCAGTCCATCCGGCAAGTGATAGGCCTCACTCGGTGTAACCAAAACTGTCTGGGCCTGCAAGAACGGTTTGGTGTGTGAGCACTAAACTGGATGTATGTTACAGTATTTACAGGGATTCTTTGGTTTTAGTACCAGTCTTTAAGAAAGCACCACTGGTTTTCCTACAGCTGGCTTGTAGTAAGCTTACAAGGACTTCTGCTTTGGGGGTTGGCAGTTCCAAAGCTGTTCTTAATATGTCCACAAAACCTGGGATAACTTTCTTCTCTTTGAAACTGTCTCTTTGAATGTTTTCTTCAATTATATTATAGCCTATAATTGGCTTCTCAGCTACTTTCACATCCTCAGAGACTACTAGTGATACTAATAACTGGCGTTGGTAGTTTTACTGTTCAATGGAAGCTGAAAGGTTACCTCAATACAACCTGAGACAATGGAATCTTCATCTCATTGGCTGCTTTTTCTTGGAGTGCCCCTGGCCCAAGCAATTCTTCAAATGATTGGAGCACAGTGTGGGGCAGTACTTGCTGTCTCTAGCCCTCATTGATAATGCTAACCTGAGAGCCAGTATCCCATAAGGCCTGGACAGGAGTGTTGTCTATTTCACAGTTCACAAGGCATCTCTTTCCAATAAGACCCAGTAGCTTGTTGTGCTATTTCAAGGTGATGCCATTCACGTTGGTTGGCAATTTTTCAGCTGTCGAGGGTAGCCTTTGAGCAAGGGGACAGGTTGGTGTTTTTCTCCAGGGGACTGTGTTTAACTTTTCAGCTGGGGCTCTGATGGTAGTTTGGGGACTGGTTTTCTTTACTATTGACACGAGTTGCACTTTGGGATGCAGATTTGGTTCTGACACAGGTTACCGTCGGTTCCTTAATAGCAACCCTCTCCCGTTTAACTGATTTTGTTTGGCAGCGCTGCATTGTCTCGCCCTATGTCCAGCTCGACCACAGTTAAGACAATGGTCACATGCCGTTCTCTGATCAGTGTTTTCACAAGATTGACAAGTCCCCCAACCAACCATGGCTCTAGGTTCTCTAAAGCCATGCTCTTTTCGAGTTCTCGAAATCTTGGAAAAGGGTTTTCATGTCAAACATTTATTGTTGCATCTGTATTACTATCTTTTCAAGGTCAGAGTTACTCTTTGATGGCTGTTGGATTGCCAGATTGCTTGCTTGTGGTGGAGGCAAAGGGAGGGTGCCTGGTTCCTGAGAATAATGGAGGATGTTGGCCTGGCACTCTCTTCCCTTCGTCAGGTTACTATGCTGAGATTTCCTGTTGTTCTCAGTCCGGTGCCCACCGACCTTAAGAATTTCTTTTGTATAAATTCAGTCCTGAAGTATTCATTTGAACCTTTCCCTTGTGAAATGAACAGCCAATGGTCCTTCAATGCAATGGCCCTAAATAGGAAGTTCTGGGGAGTCTTTTTACTATTCTGTGATATATTGATCAATTGGTATAGTTCAAAGCATTCTCCTCTTTATAATGGCTTTTTTAGGATTCTCTTGAGTGGCACTAGGGTCAGCCCACTCTTCAGCTCTAGCATGCCTCTGAGACTTGACTTGACTAATGGCTTTGACCGCAGCTTCCACAAGCTCTGACATGGGATATCCCTTTTGAAGTCCCGTGTCAATCTGGTGCATGAGGTTAGTATAAGACAGCTTGCCTTTCTGTTCCTTTTCACCTATCTGACCAGCTTTTTACCTATCTGACCAGCAATTTTAATGTCCTTTCTGATTGTAACTTTTGGCAAGTTAGTATGGGAAAGTCTCTGAGCAACTAGATTAGAGTCTTGTTTTGCAGGACTTTCTTTTGAGTCTTTGTCTTTAGTGCTAAGTTCTTTCATCTGTTCCTCTATCATCTTGGCTGTTTCTTGAAGTTTTTCCTGTATACTGTGGTATTGCTGTTTTAAATCCTTTAACTGTTGTTCTGCTTGAGGGTCTTTGCCACTATCGCTTGGTGCTTCCATGTTATCTCTCTTCTTTAACTCACCAATGAATTTCTGCAGAAATTTGTGTCACCACTTCTTCACTTTTAGTCTCTACCAGTTCATCTAACACCTCATTCACTATCCGCATGTAATGGCGCCGGGTTTTTCCTTTTGCCATACTTGCTTTGGAGGCCTTTATAAACTGGCAAGTCTCCATGAGATCATCGACTGGCATGTGAATCAGGTGTTCACTGATTTCGTCTTGCAACTTTTTGATATCCATACTCCTAATCTTTTTCTGTAACTTCACCATGGATAGCGTAGCCACTCCTTTTGACTTCCATGACCTTTTGGCGTTCCTTTCACCCGACCCCAATTTTGTTACACATACGGTTAATAATTCCACTGTGTGAAGTATTGGTCGGGTGAAACCAGAAGTGCTTTATTAGAAACGGCTGTAATAAACACAGAAAACTCTTAATGGCGTGAGACCGGATGTTCATTTAATCACGGACCTGCCGGAAACAAAGTGTTAGACTTTCAGTTCCCCCTTCTGTGTCCTTCTATTATAAACAGGATGTAGTTCTGCCATCTTGCGGTGATACTATAAAAATGCAATCACTGGTATTTTCTATTGACAAAGATAGATTATTGTTATATTAGGTATTAGGCTTTGGATTTTAATTTTATGGGGCTGGCTATTTTCTACATCTCTTACATGAGCAGTGTGCTTGAGCTGACAGGGAGGAAGACTGTTTGTAAACAAAACACTCTTCCTCTCTGTCGGTGATTGTCGTTAATCATCGGGCACCGGCGGGTAATCTGGGGCGATCAAAGGGTTAACTGTGTGCTGTGTGCTGTTTTGCTGTGTGTGGGCTTTACACTGTAAGCACACTGCTTTGTATGGCTCTGCTATGCAAAGCAGTGTGCAGGAGCTGACAGGGGAGAGATCTGTATTGTTTACATACAGGTCTCTTCCCTATCAGTGATAATCAGCGATTGCCAGGTGCCAGCAGGGAATCACCGGCCGGGACCCGGTGATCGACAGCCGAGGCCGCTAATGTCTAGGGTAATGCAAATGTATATATATACACGATTTTGCACAGGGAGTCCACTATGTAGTAGAATATCTGCTATAGGGTGGACTTAAAGTGGTTAAAAAACAGAATGCATTACACTGCAACAATTAATCACATCATTTTGGGACATGACAAAGTCGGTGATAGCGGAAGGCTCTATTCCCTCTCTTTATAGAAAGTTCATCTTTTCAAGAAAATCATTCATATCCCTTTTTACCTTTTTCAGGTGAAGCTAATAATCCTACTGGGGCTGACATTGTCCAATTCCAGGGGTCAGGACTTCTAGGACACTGGGCAGCTTTTATCAAAACAATATGGCTACCCTGGATCTAGGACCAATCCAGGGTAGCTTCTGGGCTCCAATGCATCCTCAGCTGAGACTTCATTGGTTTAATTCACTAAGATGAATTTGTTATTTAGCTGCCCTCCTTTTTTATCACATGATAATTTTCTTAAACAAAATGTCAATTTATTACCATGAATATTTCCAAGGAGTGGAATATTTGTTTCTCCGATGAAATACATTTTGAAAGCCATATTTGCTCATGAATTATTTTATCACAATATCAAATGGCTCCTTTTCCTGTTAATCTAAATTGAAATTGACTGAAAGTCACAATTGTTATTAGCCTGAAGCTACTTTTTAGGAGTGATAGCCTGTAGGACCATTTTGGTGATTTGACTTTAAATTGATTTTCTTATATTTGTTGTTAATTTGACACTGAAAATGTCTCAAAAGCACTAGTAGTGACAAACCATGGATAGGAGAACAAGCTGATGCCATTTTTTTACTAAGAGGAATTCACTATATTCTGAGACAGTGTGCGGATGGGTGCCATTTTGTTGTAATCCTTGATGTGTCTGATGAGCCAGTATTCAGCCGTTCCAGCACCTGCAAACATTGTGGCCAGTTGGCTGGGTAAACAGTTTGGGGCATTTTAGTGGTATCAGTTTTATTTGTTTTTAACCACTTGAAGTCCGGACACTTTTACCCCCTTCCAGTTCAGACCAGTTTTCAGCTTTCAACACTATCACACTTTGAGTGGCAATTACTCAGTTATACAACACTGCACCCAATTGTTTGTCATTTTTTTTATTAAACAGATGGATAAATGTGTTCTGCTACATTTTTTGCATAAAAGAACCTAGAATAGTGTATAGTATTTAGTCTGTGTGAACGCTATAGAGTCTACAATTTCCTTTAGATTTACCAGAACTATGGAATAGGAGGACCCACATGAACAATCCACTCAGTTTGTATCAAATCAGGCAGGCCCATGCACTACATAGCTGATGGTAAATCTAAAGGAGATTGTACAGTCAACAACAAACAGAAAGTTCTCTTGATCACAAGTGGAGTAGCCTAAATTACAAGAAATCCCATGGAGGATCACTTCAAGCCTTGATGCCCTCTAGGACTGAGGATGATGAAGCAACTAGAAAGAAACAACAGATAGAGAGGGCGCACCCACCTAGTGCATTATCCAGAGAATGTTTAATAAAGATCAAAATAAAAACTACTCGCAAGCATAAAAGATTACACACTCATGCCACTCATCCGTGGCCAAATGGAACCATAGCCCAGACATGGGGAAACCACAACGGGGTCCTAAAAGGCTAATGCATTTCAAAGGTATGCCCTTCTTCCTCAGAACCTTTCAGGACCCTGGCGTGGTTCCCCCGTGCATGGGCTATGGTTCCATTTGACTATGGATGAGTAACATGAGCGTGTAATCTTTTATGCTTATGAGTGGTTTTTACTTTGATTTTTATTAAACATTCTCTGGTTAATAGTACTAAGCTGCTGTACCCTCTCTCTCTCTGTTGTTTCAGATTGTACAGTGTATGACCACCTTAAAGGAAGAAGTAGGAAAGTGGGTGGAAATAAAAAAGAGATGGTGTAGTAATGAGTGAAGCATAGTCCATAGTGATAAAGCATGCCCTATTCTGTGATGCAGTAAGTCAGTGGTGCATGATGGGATATGAAGTTTCCTGGATTGCCACATGATGATACAGGAAGTGATGAGCTCAGAATTATTTTTTTACATTTTGAACTGAGAGGTGTATAGTTGTGCTAAAAAGTTTGCATACCCTGGCAGAAAATCATGAAATTTTGGCATTGATTTTGAAAATATGACTGATCAAAACATCTGGTATGGCGCCCGACAACAGCTTGACTTGCCTTACTGGGCTTTTTTGTGGCATTGGTGCAGTAAAGGCTTCTTTCTGGTAACTCGCCCATTCAGCTCTTTTTTGTTCAAGTATTGTCATAAAGTGCTCCCTGAAACAACCAAACTGTCTTTTTCTAAAGCAGCCTGTATTTCTCCTGAGGTTACCTGTGGGTTTTTCTTTGTATCCCTAACAATTCTTCTGGCAATTGTGGCTGCAATCTTTCTTGGTCTACCTGACCTTGAGTTGGTATCAAGAGATCCTTGAATTTTCCACTTTTTAATAGGTGGTTGAACAGTACTGACAGGCATATTCAAGGCTATGGATCTCTTTTTATATCCTTTTACATCTTTATAAAGTTTCATTACCTTGCTACGCAGGTCTTTTGACAGTTATTTTCTGCTCCCCATGGCTCAGTATCTAGCCTGCTCAGTGTATCCACTGAGAGAGCTAACACACACTCATTGACTATACACAGATTGCAATTTAAAAAGCCCTAGGTGTGGGAAAATAACCTTTAATTGCCATTTTAACCTGTGTGTCTGTACCAAGGCCAAACATTCCAGGGAAAGAAACAAGCAGCATAATGCATTAAATTATAATACCCCCCCCACACACACACACGCTGCAAGCTGATACATTTCTGCTTTAAATAAAGTACATTGGCATTATCAGTCATATTTTCAATATCAATGCCAAAACGTCCGGATTTCTGCCAGGGTATGCAAACCTTTGAGCACAACTGTAAATTGAAAGCTGCCATGGACTAGATAAGTGAGAGATAAGTACATGGGCAGAAAATACATTAGAGAAGGCTTCTATGTATATGAAAAGTGAAATTTTGCCAAAAAGGCAAACTCAGCCTTAAAGCCAGTGTTTCTTTATATTAAGTTGACTCTAAATGACAAAGAGGTGATATATAGTATACAGACCCCTTAGATACAGTGCTCCAGCATGGTGATCCTGAAGTATGGCTGAAAATTGTTTCTTGCGTGTTCTCAGCAGATAGAAGAGTATCCATATTGAGCTGCATAACATCAACACTGACAAGAAGATATTTGAGTCCTGGGAAGGCATGGAACTGAGAACCACGCTGCTCAAAAAGGCAGCCCCCAGGAAGACCACATTCATTGCCATAAGTCCAGAGAAAAGTCGTCCAGATACTCTTGCCCTTTTATGGTGAACCACGGTAGAAGTGCAGTTCCGGTGAAGCCAAGAATGCTCATATCCTAAGTCCACATGATCGTGGGCAACATTCTGGTTGAGATCCATAGCTACCATATCTAGGAGAGATTACAAATAAATAAAAATTTGAAATCAGCAGTGCTTAAATTAAATTACATAAACAGTATATTACACAACGTATAAATGGAGGCTAATTCTAATTCTAATTTCTTGTGCAAGAGATGAGTGAAGTGAATAAGATCTTACAGAGAATCCAGCAAGTTTGCTACAAGCCAAGTATGCTGGTAAAGGCCAATTTGTATTGCTGACAAATCTTATATCAAAGGATCACCTACAAGTTCACTACCTGAACATAAAGTGCAAGCGGGCCCCCCAAACAGGAAGTAGGGGACATTCCCAGTTTAACAGTATTGCCCTAATAAAGAAAACATATTCTATGTCTTTATCAGGCCAACAGCGTCAGTGGGGTGGGGATATTCTCCCATTGTCTTCTTCCGCAGTGAAAAGTGGGATCCCCTCTGCTCACCCTTCTGGGTAAGCAGAAGTAACCCAGTAAACTTTGCTACATTCATTGATAAACTAGTTAGTGACCCCATTTTATCAGTTCACTATAAGTAAATTTAAAATGTATCCATCTGGGGAGGTGGAGGGGTGTTAACATTTATTTTGTCAAAACTGGATGTTTTGCTAAATATCTAATACATACATGAGAAAGGGAAAGCAAAAATAATTCAAGATGTCCAGAGAGTTATAACCCTTGCCTTAATGTCCTGATGATATTAACATATTAACGTGGTTCTAAAGGCTTAATTAAAAAAAAAAAAAAAACAAACATGTCTATCCTTACCTG